CATTAATAAGTGGCTCAGGCTCTTTATGCCAAATAATTGGAGAGCCTCTTTCCAATTGACAATTACAATATGTCATAATATAAAATACAATTATAATATACATTCTTATAGCTATATTATATATTGAGATCTATCAATTTGTAATTGAGTGATATAATTATTATTCCATGCAAAAATATTTGCAACTATTGGGAAATAATATTATTATTTAAAACAAATCTGATATACCATGTTTGATATTTTATAAGTCTATCTCTAATTTCATATGTTATCATAGAGATTAAGTGTTTTATATAATTATTGTTAGTATTTAAAAGTAAAATTTGACTATACAACTCCATTCTAACATTTATCAACTTTACTATTTCTGTACATACTAAAATACAATAATTAAATACAGATTTTTCTAAAATGTTGTATTCACGTAATTCGAAATATTGTCTTAATTTATTTTTAACATAAGATCTATTAAGTAGATCAAGAAAAGAAAAGTCTTTAAGTTTAGGTAAATATACCCAATTAGGATTCATACTACAATTATAACTTGCAATTGAAATACAGGAAATCGCTTAATTAGTTAAGACCGCTTAACTACTAAGGTTAGAATGAGCTCAAGATTTGAAAAAATAGTAATAATAATTTCAATCTACACTCTATACCGGAGCACCTCCACCATGATGTAATGAGTAGATTTTATCATTACTGTTATAACTATAATATATCCTAATTCTATACCGTTTCAATATTATTTTAATAGCATTGCCATTTATATCTGGAAAGTGTTGATTATTTAGATGTTTCATGAGAATTTTTGGGGTGAGTTACTCGCTTCACTTTCCATGCAATGATTTCACGTAAACCACTGGAATGGCCGCCACTATTGGCACAGTACTCCTGTAGTGGTTTAGGTTGTCTTAATTGTACATTGGGCACAATATTAGCTTTTACTACACAATTATTAATACAATCTATGTCTGATTGATCGTAAATTAAGACATTACTACTTTGCGGACCAATTATATAAAAGGTATTATCTCTGGTCCTGAGATTATTCAATTCAATTTGACCTTTACTATCAAACGAAACACTATTCAATGTTAAGACAGACTCATTGTTTTGAGAGTTAAGACTCGAAGTCTGTACCACTCGGGTCTGGTCAGAAGCTCTGAGACCAGTAAAAACTATTTTACTAGTTTGGTCACTCACTACACGTGACACAACTATAGTATACTGAAGACAGGACGATACAGTGTTATCAGCATCCATACAATGGCTGGCTAGCCGCAACACTTGCGCTAAAAACAAACAAAAACCGACATTACTCAATGACAACAAATGTCTTGTCGCAATTATAAACTGGTAACTAAAACATAACGATTGACTAACTGGTCGGGCCCTACCAATAATTGCCAACGAGAGAAGCCTCAAAGCCTCCCTCTAACCAAAACATGCAACTCAATACCCAATCTACTAGTAAGACTGAGTCTAATGGTCAGTACCATCACTCGGTACTACCGTCGGTAAAACCGGCGTAGTCTATTCAAATACCCACTATAGGATAAGTAATGCTATACCCGTTGACCAACCCTGTGGCCAAACTATAAATCAGAGTCCTCTGACTCTGATGACATAACCATGGGATCGTCACAAGCAATCTCTGGGGGAATCTAACCCATCTATGTCTCTCCAGCCGTGCCTACCCGGCACTAAATAAAGGCGTTTAAACACTAGTTAAACCCTACCCGACACTCGTCGGTGAAATGTGATAACACCCGAAACCTTTGTTACGGTGACTATCACTGGACTACTAATCTGTACTGTATAACATTACAACAGACAACAAAATTACATTCAACTAACATACATAGACAAGGACTATATTAGACAAAATTGTATGTGTGGTGGCGTCAATGATAAGGCGCTCATTAACTACAGCAAGCGGTGTCGCGTACACAACCGCCGCCGCGACCGTCAACGAATGTATTGTCGGAGAGTCACCGATCACATAAATTAACATAAATCTATACAAACACATCATACACTCAAGTACGAAAAAGACAATACATGACCGAAAGATTGCCGACAGTATTACATACTTATCATAACATTTCTATTATTTCACATACTGTATTCAGTTTATTTGGTCAGACATGACTATGTCGTCTCCGGGGACAATTGACATCACCTTTAGGTTTTTGGCCGTGATATTGTAAGAACAGTGCATATGTAACAACAATAAACTATTAGGTGTCCAAATATTTATTTATACTGGGTCAGTCAATCCCGAAGGTGACTATAGACTCATAAAGTTAAGGCAAACCTTAACTATACTCTCGGATCACTATTGAGGAGCGTATGTGTACGGTCTTAAACTCAGTGTCCGTTATCGGCTATTAACACACAATCACGCGATCGGGAGACCGGAACCCTCTTGGGACCACTGGCCTGCCTAGTCAGTCGGTATCGAATAGTAACTATGCATTTCCCAACTAGGTTAGCGAAAGCACATATGTACTCGAGAAATCCACTGCTATGCATTCACACACACATTCACTCAAACAGCCGATAATTACAACAATCAACCAAACTAGTGCTATTGTCACGAAGACAGCAACTATTGGATCACCTAGTAAATTGTATTTTAAGGTCAGACTATTAGTGTTAAATAACACTGAGAACCGACAAAACTACAACTGTTTCACTAAAACGTAGGACTATTGCCGAAAAATCGGGCAGAGCCTTCGGCGGCCTGGTACAATCTCGGGGATGTCGGAGACTTCCATATGACACATATAGTAGTCTATACCAACAATAACTAAGTATAGGTCAAAGGAGGTAAGGGATGAGGACAGCATAGCCGTACAGATCTCTCGACACGACAGATCCGTTAGCATACTATCAAAGGTAAAGGAATGACGGCAGGACCGTACGAATCCCCCGACACGGCGGATCCGATGGCCAACCATCATAGGGTATGGTTAGGTAAGGTTACATAACTGGACCGGAACCCCCGACACGGCGGTTCCGTCCATTAGCTATATACGCGGGAAGGCTCGACAACATAACCGACCAGATCCCCCGACACGGCGGACCCGATGGCCAGTCATCTTACCTTAAGACTGTAGACAAGAAGGGACCTTTACGATACTGGAGCTCCCGACGCGGGAACCCACGGATTTAGGTCGCTTAGAAAAAAGTAGGAGACAATAAATGGTAAAAACTTACATTAAATCCAAAAGGTTTTTATTTAAAAAGACATCAAAGTGGTATACATCCAAGTATACGGACCATCAATGAGAAGGGGGTCGAACCAGAAGGGGAGAGAACTGATCTGCTAACGGCTCTTAGCAGTACTAGTCTATGCCAATGACTACCAGTATCTCAATGATTCTATCATTGAGGATACTTGGGGTTTTATAGTCTCGGTCGCATCAATATAAATTTTCAAGGGAGGTAAGGTATATACTAGTGATGCGTTGGAGCCAAAAAACACTACAATATAATACTATTTATGCTATGTTATGTAATGATTGATGTCTAAAATTGGTAATTCTGGCACCGGATAGGGGAAATTTTATATAGATTTATATTACAGTACGGGAAAGAAATTTGGATTTTTGGCACTATGTATGTAGATGTTATATGCAGTATATTATGTATTAATTTTAGGGTGCATCTAAAAAATTTATTTGTTAGTATATTTTGATATAAGTATATATATATATATATATATATATATGTGTGTGTATTGTATTATAAATCTATTGTATGTCAATATTTTCTATAACAATATATTAAATATTCTACTTTTAAAAAGAGTACATTTTTAGTATTATTTTTTAGTACTTTTAATTTTAAATACAGAATAATATTTTATTTAAACTATATATGTTTTTTGTATTTAGAATAAAAATATTTAATGTTATTTGCTTTATGCGAAAAATTAAAATGAAAAGTAAAGTATTAACTCTTTTATATTATAGCATATAATTAATATTATAAATTAAATGATTAACAGTAAAACAACAATGAGAAATACTGGTAATATAAACACAAAATTATATTTTATTTCCGTTTTAGTGGACTTTAAAAGTCATAATTAATTTAATATTTTATAATAAACTGATGAACGCTTATCTAATATCTATTATTATTTTTACACACAAAGTGTCACTATTATTCTGTATTATTAGATTAATACTAATATAACATTACTGTACTTTATATCATATATCAATAATATGATAAATACTGTATAACACTATGCCGTATGTGGTCTTTTAGATACAATTGTATTTTATAAACATTTTTATCTCCCATACGGTTAGTGTATCACAAAATGTTAATTTACGTTTGCCATAAAAAAAATAAATTGTGAACTCATTTTTCATTTTATATAAATATTTTGTGTAAATATTAATGACACTTAAATTAATATATAATGTTATATAATATTTCTATATTTCCTCTAACAAGTTATTTATTATACAATCAATGTCTCCATTATATAAAAACTACTGTACATCTCAACTAATAAATTAATTTAAAAATGTTATTAAATTATTTAATTTACAAAATTTTTAGATAAAGTATATACACTAGTAGTTTGTTAAATTATGTATAATTATAAGTTATATATAATGTAAATTTAAAATACTTAACCATTTTTATTGTTTTAAATTAATCAAATTCTTAAAATAAAATTTTATTTAATTTGTAATATATTTGGAAATATAAATAAAGTACATAAAAATTAAATATGGTTATAATAATAATCATTAATTATTTAATGGTTACAGTAATATTTATTTTAAATATCAAATATTAAAATATTACATTTTTATATAATTAATTAATTAATATTTTTATCAAAAATATTTATATTACTATGTAATATAAAAAATCTTTAATTAGAAAATATTTCTTTTTAAATAAATTAGTGTATAAACAATCATAACATTACTATTTAGACAATTTTTTAAATGCTGTTTACATTAACTTTTTAAATATGCATTTCAAATGTATTATGAATTAGATATTAATTTATGAACAAAAAGTTTATCTAATCCTTTGACTGATCTCCTGAATCCTCGTTATCTTTATTGTGATCATCAGTTTGGTTGTCATTATTTCGGTCCGATTCTTCATTAGGACATTCTCTGGCGTAATGTCCTTCTTGACCGCAACGGAAACAGTTGTTTCGTTGAATATCTGGACAATCTCTGGCCATATGTCCTTCTTGTCCACACTTATAACAGCCATCTCTGGTCCGATTTGGACTATTAGTGCAATCCCTGGCTTCGTGTCCTTCTTTACCGCATTGATAACAAGTGCGCTCAGAGTTTTGACAGTCACGCGCAAAGTGACCATTTTTATTGCATCGATAGCACGTGTTAGGACCAGGACTGCGACAATCGCGTGAAAAATGTCCGTATCGGCCACATCGGTAACATTGGCCATCATTATTATTTAGGCGACAATTTCGTGACCAGTGACCAGTTTTGCCACATTTGAAGCACTCGTCACCACCACTGACCCGTCCAACTGACCGACGGTCGTCCAAACCTATGGTTATCAACACATCATTGTTATCATATGATCCGTCTATTCATTATTTAGCGGTCATTAATGGCCGCTATTAGACCTGGTTTTCCCATTTGTCAACACGTCTTGCAATTATAATAATCGATATAAATAGTGATAGAGTTGTCAATCAATGGTAAACAATGGATTGACAGTTGATATTAGAGACCAAATGGTGATAATCTTCACACAAATTATTGTCAAATGTGTGACAAAAACACTAAAACAAGTGTCGAATCAAATGTATTGCTATTAATGTATTGATATTCATATCATATGAACTCAATGTTAACGCAATCACTAATAGTTAGTCACGTGTCACACACTGTCAATCATTATTAGTATTATATTAGAGTACATCCAAAATATGCATTTTAAGTGACAAATATGTAATCAAATATTAATATACAATAATATGTACTGAAAATGTATTTTTTAAATCATAAAAAGATATATAGTATTGTAAATATTAGTTTTATTTTCAAAACAATTTACATTTACATTAATAACAGTCAAAATATTTATTAATACAACACGACTACAGTATATTTAATTTATTATTTGTATAGTCCTAATATACAGTATAATTATATACAGTACAGTACAACACTATTTATAAGTTATAATATTATAAATTATAGCATCAATTAAATGAAATTAGCGCTCATTTCGGTATATGGACTGTAAATATAGACAATAAATATTATATATATAGTATAATATATTATATACAGTAGTAGTGATTAACATATAGTGATGTCAATAGTCGGAGATCAAGGGTTAAGAAGTTAGATGCGGTCAGCGATTGCCGTCAAATGTTATAACTTATAAGGAGTAGTTAGGAGTAGTTAGGAGTAGTTAGGAGTAGTTAGGAGTAGTTAGGAGTAGTTAGGAGTAGTTAGGAGTAGTTAGGAGTAGTTAGTAGAGTAGTTAGGAGTAGTTAGGAGTAGTTAGGAGTAGTTAGGAGTAGTTAGGAGTAGTTAGGAGTAGTTAGGAGTAGTTAGGAGTAGTTAGGAGTAGTTAGGAGTAGTTAGGAGTAGTTAGGAGTAGTTAGGAGTAGTTAGGAGTAGTTAGGAGTAGTTAGGAGTAGTTAGGAGTAGTTAGGAGTAGTTAGGAGTAGTTAGGAGTAGTTAGGAGTACCCACACCTAAACTTTATAACCCCCACCTGTTTCCCCCTCAGTCTATATTCAGATTTGACTATATTTTCATTGATTAACACAAATGTCAAACAATTGATATATTTTGTGATGAATTAGTAATTGGTTTGAATTGTTTGATTGAATGATTGTCATTGAAATGATGTCAAAGTGTTAACACTATTAATGATATTCAATGAGTGTTTGACTGCTTATCAGTGATAACACACTTTGAATGTGTGGACACTTAAGTACAGTACAGACACAACATTCATGTCTATCGACACCTCAAACATGTATTGAATGTGTGGTAAAGTCTGATCACGTCTTTGACAGTTTGGCCGTTCAAATGTTACCAGTAGTGCATTGGATGGCATAAAACATACCATCAATGATACAACTGTTCAAATAAATGTCTAATTTCACTACAATTCAGTGAAATGTCATTTTTGGCTATTATTTTATTATTTATTTTTATCTTAAGTTAAAACACATAACATGTTGTTTATTATTGTCTAAAAAACTAAAAGTTTTGTTGTTATGTAATATATTGTCTATGTTTGACATCAAAAGCAATAATACTATTATATTAATAGATTGAGACCTTTGAATTGATACACAGTTTTGTTTAAAAAACTATATGAATTGACACAAACTATTATTATAACAACAATTATTGTATAAAATATTTTGCTTTAAAACTTTATTCAATTAGAAAAGTTGTCAAACATTGTATTAATAGCTCAGCACCGGTAGCTTTAAATGCCTTTTCACTAATAATCACAACAACAAAAACTTATGATCGCAATGACTTACATATACAGTACATTGACATGAATTGTAAGTTATATTGAAACTACAATTCAATGCAATTGATATCAACAACAAAATGAAAAGTTTAAAAAAAACTATTTTCTGATTGCAGACAACGAAAGTTTAAGTTTTTATATTTTAATCAAATGTTTGATAGTTTTGTTAATAATTGAAAGTTTGATTTTCATAACTGAGTTGAATGATCTTTCTTATCGTTTTTTGTATATAAAGAGAGAGAGAGAGAGAGAGAGACTATTAAATGGATTTCCCTATTATTTTTCTGTAGACATGAGATAACTTATCAGACATATTGTATATAAAAAGTAAAGTATTTTATCGCAAAGTTAGCTAAAATTTGTCACAATTATTGCTATGAGTTAACCCAATAACCAGAGGGTTTCATAAAAAAGTATAAATATATAAATGTATAAATATTTGTATATTTGTGAGTATCACAGGAATAGACATCATCTGAAACCCATTTGTGTCGACACATAACATGATTGACTCTGTGATGACCAATACCTCCGGCTATCATATAGTAGGCAATGGCAGTCAATAAACTGAAGTGAAGTCTCATACTGTATGTGTACATCCATATCATATAATCAGTTTTGCAGTTATAATACTTTATAAATTATAACCAAATGAAGGCAATAACTTAAAATCAGACCCGCATTAGACTCCCGACTCATGATTTTTTTGAATATCTAGTAAACCATATTTTAAATATAAAAATGACCAATTATAAATATATTCAGTATAAAATTGTCTATAACTTTTCCATTTATCAATTTTATATTTAAAATATGGTTTTCTAGATATTCAAAAAAAAATCATGAGTCGGGAGTCTGATGCGGGTCTGATAGTAAGATATTGCCCCAAATGAAGTATTTCTACAAAAAAAAATGATTATATTTTTATTGAACACAAATATTTAATTTATTATTTGTAAAATTAAAATTATAAAATATATTAAATATATAGAGTGATCAAATGTATAATTGACAACCGGTAATGGTATTAATAGAAATAAATAAAATTAACCGATTATAACATATAAAAAATAGTTGACAAGAAAATATACCATTGATAATGTATCAGTGATTTTATACATAATATAGTCAACTGTAACTACTTGTGCGCCAACCACTTGATTCAAGTTTTTTTATTATTAACTTTCGTTTCTCAATTTTTTTTAGAAAACTTAAATAATATTAATATGTATTGAATTTTTGATTTTTAAAATATCAATATATAATTTTAAAGCATTTGAAAATAATTTTAAATACAATAAAATTCATATTAAATTACTTTTATAAACTATTTATGTTGAAATACAATGTAATGTAATTACACAAAAAAATGTTATCTAAAGTAATGAATATTTTATTTAACATAACGTTCACAACACAAACACAATGAAGTTTGCGATATAATGGATGCAAACATTATTGTATTCAAAGTGATGTTTGCGTAGAGTTTGCATCACTTTTGATGTGTTGTTAAATATTACACAAAAATAAAAAGGTATCAAACATTTAGTGGCAAACTTTTTGTGCGACAATAGAGTCAGTTATGTGTAGATAAATGTATGCAAATATGAGATGAGATTTGAGAAGAAGTGTATAATATAACTAAAACATCATTACTTTGTATGGCATGAGTGGTATGTGAGCTGTAAGACCAATGGTTTCCCTAAATATAGTGTTGGGTTATAAAGGAAATGCATTTTCTCTTTAATCGCCGCTTCAATGCTTTCCACATATAAAACTTAGCCATCATTTGGTTATATTTATTATAACATTTATCTGTATATTGTATTTATATTGTATAATATACAGTATAATACGTGTATATATGTCTATTTACACTATATTATAGACTATAATTTACAATATAAAATCACAGCTCCATTGCCTTTACAAAAAGTTTGCAAAATTTGGTAGTTCATAATCTAGGGTTGTAATCGTACAATAATACTCTAGTAACTAGAGTCTAGTTGTATTAAATTTAGTATATTTTTATTGCTAATATACTACATTACTTACTATATCTATTGTTTGTTAATCTCAATATTATAATATATGATGACATAATTTGTCTATATTATTAAAATATTATAAAATTTCATAGGAATAGTGTATTTCTGAAATTTATGTAATTTTATAAACAAAAATAAGAGATAACAATATGTTTAGTTCAAGTACTTTAATTTATTAATTAAATATCAATGCTTTAAAATAATGATCAGTTAAAATAATACACATCAATATAATCCAAACAATCTTATCGACAATCACTTAATGATTGAAATTGAAATGAACCTATGATTAAAATGTTAATATTTATTATTATATTTGTGTAGATAATAATAAACTACATGTTATATGATTGTATGCTTTCTTAGTATAATTGTTTATTAAATTTATTAGATTATTAAAAAATAATAGTTTTATTTTATTTAAATTTTACGTCCAATGATTTAATTATTGTCAAAATAGACACCAATATTATTAGACAAATAAGGTATAAAACAAAAATAGTGAATATTTGGTTTACACATCAAACGCTATTTATTGTATTTCTACGATTGCTTTTAATAATTATTAATTTTTATAATTATATTATTACTAGTATTTAATTGTTTAAAMGGAGAATACAACAATCAAACTTTATTTTAATATTGTTTTTAATGAATAAAAATAGTTATGTGCGAAAATAAGCTGTTTTTAAGTTTATAAATCAATTTGAATGTTTTTAATATCTCCTTATACTTATAATGATATTTTTAAATGACAGATACGACTATATATTATATAAGCATAAATTCAAAGTAAAATATAATGTAATTTATATAAGGATGAGATCAATGAAAAACGGGAAAACATCTCAACAAATATATATATATATATATATATATATATTGCATTTGCTGAGCCTTTGGGCAAAAATAAAAATTTAATTTTAAAGTAAATAATAAGTGGTTTTAAGTCAGCGGTTTAAAACGTTTGTCAAAATAGCAACAAAAATAATTTACTTTTAAATTAGAAAATAAAAGTCGCAAATACTTTATCATAGGATTTATAATTTGATGACACATAAGCAAAACATTTGGTAAAGACATACATACTGTATATTTTATCTTAATTTATGAAAAACTATAGATTTAAATATTTTGTTTGAAAAACTTTATAGTTAATAGAGTATTGATTCAATTATTATTATACACTACAAACTATTTTTGAGTTAACAAAAGCGCTTTTAATGTAAATTTTTTCTCGATTTAAATGTTGATTAATAATCCGATTTGTAGTTCATTTCTTATTTGATATTTTGTCAAATGTTTGTTTAATTATCCGATTTTTGTTATATTTTATTAAATATAACATAAATGATCCCTCAGTTTCACACATGAAWCTTGCAGTCATACACTTAAGGTATATTAATAATACAGATAAAATATACTATTGATTACAATTATATTTATAATGCATTTAATTTACAAATTAATTTAATATTTCTACATTCATAATTTGGTTAAACTAAACAATTTTATATCTTAATTTCATAATAACAAATATGTCTAAATATAAATTTAATTTTATAATTAAATTTTTATTTAATTTATATTTTACATTCTTATAACAAAATCTTAATAAACAAATGAAATAATGATATGTTTATTATTCTTAACAATAATAAATTAAGTTTAAAACATAACGTCAAAAATCAAGCAAAAATAATGCACTTATTTAACTTATAATTGATAATTTCTAAATTTCTAAATTATATTAATATACATTTCTAAATTGTACAAATCATTAAATTATATAAATAAATATAAAAACTTCATAATTCTTGTGTATAATTTATAAAACATTTTTTTAAATAAATAATTTTCCAATATATATGTGATTTTATGCTTGTCTTACAATAAATTAGCTGTAAATTGTTTGATTTATAATAAATTTAAAAATTATATTATAAATAAAATAATATATATTAGTGTTGAGCTATTTACTTGTCAAATATTTTTCAAAATATTTAACAATTGTATTATAATATGAATTATATATATATATATATAACATTTATGTGAATTTTGTAAACTATGTAAATCTATGAATAATGTGATGATATTCATGTAGAGAACACCCTTTGCAACTGCCGGTGCAAATACATAGCAAATAATACTGACAGCACTTTCCACTCCTTTGGCGGTGAGTCCGAGTTATGGATGTCCTTAGCTTCAGAGCGAACTAAACAAAAAAAAATATATAAAATATACTGTATATACATATTATATTGAGGCAAATAAAACATTTTGCTATATTTTAATACACTTTATTGTATTTTATTATCGTTTAATATAATTATATTATATATGCAATGCTGTGAGTCTATGAATGAGTGGAATAAATTAAATTACGAGTTATCACTAATAACAAGTAATTATCAAAATTACATAAAAAACTTTTTATATTTAATGACTGATTGTTTTATACAATATGTTTCATAACAAGTTACTCTCTATACTCATTAAATTAAAATAATAAAAAAGTTTGTTTTATTCTGACATTCAACAAAGTACTGAAATATTTACAAAATTATAAAACACTTATTTAAAAAATATTTTATTTAAATAATAAATTTTTATGAAAACAATACTAATAACATAAAAATTAATCAAAAAACATAAGATTCGTGCGATTCATTTGTTTTGAAACTATGAATACAATCGTATTTAATGACTAATTAGTTTTAAGTTAATATGTTATATTTGCAATACAATTGTATAATTTATATATTTGTTTATATATAATATATTTAAAATATTATGATAGCTAGATTTACAATATATAATATTTACTACAATACTTTATTAATATTAATATAAAATAAAGATTTCCATAAATATTTAAGGTTTTTTTTATATTTTAATCAACTAAATACCGCAATTTAAAGTACTAATATTATACAGAGAAATAATTAAAATTAATTTATATCATATAAATTTGATAATTTAATTTTATATTGCAACAAATTTTTTCTTTCATAATTTTACATTTAAAATGAACATTTAATTATTGTGAAATAAAAATATTGCAACATTATAACAAAACAATAACATTTAAAATAAAATAATTTATATTAATTAAACATAATATTTTCATAAATTCAATTATCATCGTTAATGTAACGATTTGTTTAAATTTATAAAATATATAAAAATGTCATTTTATTTTAAAACTGTTAACTAAACTAATTTTCGTGTCATTACTGTTTTTTATCAAAAATATTAGTAAAATTAAGTCATTTTAATATAAATATTGATTATTAACTTTAAAAATTATAATTAAAGATAAAGCAAATAATCAATTTAATGGTTTTTAAGACATAAAAAATAATTGAAATAATTTGAAATAATTTTTAAAAATACAATTTTTTATTTAATTAATTGTGTGATGAATATATTTAATATGTTATTACAAGCCATGATATGATCACATCATTCATATTATTATTAGCGACTAATTTATCAAAATATATGCTAAAATTTTACTATGACTACAATTATACAGTAATATTTCATAGATATATTGTAATAAAAGCAATGGTTAAATGTTTTCGTTTAGTAATCTCATAGTTTTAATGTAAAATAAATATTAATTTTAAACTTTGATTGAAACTAATATTAAGTAACACGAGATTTGAAAGGCATGTGTTGCCAGTAATATGTTTGCGTGTAATTCAATAGTTATCTAACGAGTGAACACAAAACACAGTCAAAGTAATGCCTTTTTCTCCGTTAATTATTTTTGCAAACTGTTGTCAACATTTAAAATATGTTTTAACTTTTACTAGTTTTGTATTTAAACCAAAATTAAACTTTTAATTACAAACTCATCAAATAATTTATTATTTTTATAATACCAATGTGTGTTTTGCAGATAAATGGCAATGATATGAAAAGTGTATGATAAAATGCATTTTAAAATATGATACCATAAAAATAAGTAAATAATATAATTTATATTAAATATAAAAATTGTTTGTATATTTAAATACAGTACTATTGTATAGCAAAATTAGAAATGATTAACAAAATTATTGATACAAACCTTGGCTTAAGTTTTCACTATTAATGATGTGTAGACCTGACTGTTGCTGTTGTTTATCGTCGGCATTATATAATATAAGTTGGGCTTCATTTTTGATTTGATATAACTGTGATATAGTGGACATACACTTTAACCTCATGTGCCCGGAGTTCATAAAATGTTTTTCTTGTGCTTTAAATCTCAGACTAAGACTTGAAGTCTCTAAGCCGTCGGTGTGCAGAGTCGTACTGTATTCAACATCATGTTCCGCACCCACCTATTTTTGTTAGCAATTGATACAAAAATATTTACAAATTTAATTCACAATATATACTATATATAAAACTAAAGGAAAGATATATAATTAGTGCCATAATTTATAAAATGACAAATTTTCTTCATCCAAATAATTAACGTCACAATCAATCAGTTAACCAATTATTATGCAAAATATGTATTATAACCTCATATAGCTTTGCATTAACATTAATACTGGATATCATTTTATTTAGTAAACTTCATTATTATCTTTTTTAAAGATCCTAATGTATATAAAATATGAGTTTATAATTCTAACAAAATCACTAAAATTCATTACTTAATGAATGATTGAGATTAAGGCAAATATTATGAAATACACGACAAATTTCTTAAAATTGATATAAAACTAAATGTTTATTACTATTATTATTATTATTATGCTTATTGGGAATGAATTATACTATAATAAAGAATAAGAGACAATAATGGATATAATAATAACATAAAAATAAAAAGCATTAAATTTATTGACTATGTATTGACTTACGGGTTCGTCATTAATGGTAAAATTAAGATAAGCTCCCGGTTTTGATTTGGCTGACGTACAGTTGGCCACAACCAGCTCTCCCGGACTGTAAGCAATTTTTCCATTACCCGTCGATATCCGGGGGCCCTCCGATGGTAACACTGTTTTTTTTAATAAAGATAAAGCAAATTGCACCGTTAGATAAAAATAAGTTTAAAATGATGGGTTGAAAAATACTGTATCAAATGAAATAATGCAATAGTATTAGTGTTACAGTTAGTGACCCGTATATAAAGCTAATGCCCGGTATCTGTTGGAGCGAAATATTTCCCATTTGCTGAGTGATTCACATTTCATATTATTTGCTCTCTATTTTTGACTCTAAAATTGATACAAAAAACTTCACTATTTTTTTTGTTCAAATCATAAAATATCCAAAAAAAATCGTCTGTAAAACTATTACATTAAAAAAAGTAATTTTTCTCTAACTCTTTTCAATTGTATTAAATATATTAGTTATTCGACAGATTTTTTCTGTTTGATTTAATCTTTTATATATTAGCCAATTATTTAGTTTCCTATTTTTTATATCTCTTATAATTTTATAACAATCAGAAAATTATTAGAAATAAAAGAAATCTATGTCTTATAACTACATAATAATAAATTTTGGATAAATGATGTAATGTTAACTTCAAATAAAATCTACACCTATTTTAGTGTCAACTATAAGAAAAATACTTTATATGAGCTTTAAAACATTGACTTTAAAAAAATAGATTTTTATACCATTTGCCTTTAAATACAATTGTCTATACTTTATGCTATCACTATTTAAGTAATAAAAATCAATATTGAAAGTCAAAAAAAGTAAGTTTACAAATTTGTGTTCAGATTTTTTATTACCGTTTATCACCAAATAGTCCTCAACGGCTGCCGTATTAAAACCTAAATAAAATATAAAATACAAATAATAATAATAACAATAATAAAAGTAAAATACATTAAAACACATAAAATTTGTTTTGTTGGCACACATATAGCAGTGCAATAACAATAATTTTGTGGATGACTTTATTTTGTTATATTTTGTTGCATATTGTTGGAGGCAAACAACATTACCAACATTACTAACATTCAATTTTTTTTAAATACGACAATAATAGTCAATAAAAAATGTTTGTATCACTTACTCGGAGCTTCGGCACTGATTTCGCACCGGTATTTGCCACTTGTGCTTAAGTTTACATTTTGCAGATATACAGACATCTTATCGGATCGAGATAGCTATACATATAATAGATATACAGTATATAAATATAAGTATTTCTATCTAATCATGTTTTGATTATTGAAAAATTTATTTATAATCAAAGTGTATATAATATACTAAGTTATTGATATATATTGTAATAGAAATAAACTGCATATTAAAGTGCTATCAAAGTAAATGATGAGTTAATTCAATTGAATCCACAATATATTAAGCAGTTTTCGCTGTAATTATTTAATTAGTTTTTGTTTATTTCTTATATGTAATCCAATGGGCCATTAATGAGATTAACATAAGGACAGGCAGTTTGATGTATCTGATTGAATGATACTTACATCGACTTTAATGCCAGGCATCGCCAGATACTGAGCCTGTGGCCAATCGCGAGGCACATATCTATAGTCATAAAAATGATCCAATAGTTAATTATTCACTTTTAAATTAACCATAAATTTTCATTACAATTTATGGCTACACTTACCTATAAAATTCGTACCCATTTTTATACCTAATATTATGGGAATCAATAAAATGAAACTGTATTTTTATTTATTTTTACGTCCAAAATAGTTTATATCAATATATTATGTATAATGAAAGCAATAATAATCAATAATTGATTTAAGTATCAATACAATAATAATTACCATTTAATAGAGTAAAGTCGATCATTTTCTAAGTCATAACTACACCTAATAAATAAAACATAAAATATAAATGATTCGTCTATTTATTGGTCACTTTAATCATATTTAAAACTAATTTATAATAAATTATATTTACATTAATTCAACCGACTCTCCGGCCATTGAAGGGCTCGGTATGTCTAACATTACTATACGTAGTGCTGATACCATTGCAGTCAATGTGAATATTAATATAACTGTAAATAAGAAATTCAGTGATTATTATATGCCTGTTGGCCAGTCATCATAAACAATGTCATATTTACTAATATATGTGATATCAATGTTAGTACAGAGTAAGAGAGAGAGAGAGAGAGAGAGAGAGAGAGAGAGAGAGAGAGAGAGAGAGAGAGAGAGAGAGAGAGAGAGAGAGAGATGCAATTGACTAGTAAAGTATAGTACAGTAGAGTATATAGTTATTTGATTGTACTTATCAAGTGCTGCAAACATTTGATTGAATTTAATAACATGATTCATGATTCTCAAAGTTATTGAATATAAACGAAAATACTATTTACTTGTGAAGCAAAATATAAACCATTTCTTATGACTTGAAAGATATTTAATATTTGACAAACAGATACTAAAATAGATATAAGTTTTGCTTAACATTTGACTCATCTATAGTTATAAACTGATAACCAAATGGCACTCTTAACCATCAAATTAACTGTCAATCACTACAATAATATTCTGTGGTCTTAAATAAGATATTCACACAAATCCATCAAAAGACTAACAATTGTCTGTTTAGCAAAACTTGCATTTTGTTTGTATTACTACTAATATGACAAACAAATTTGAATAAATATGAGTGTCATTTTTCAATTGAAATATTTACTTTTGACAATAACATCACTTGATTATAATGTATGAAATTGTGTTACATATGTCTACAATAAATATATTTAAAATCCGAGTTATATTTCTTGATTCATATTGTATTACTAACTATTCTATTAAATAGTTTATATTTTCAATAATTATCTCTCTTTAAAAAAGTTTACGATTGTATGAATCGGAAGCTATATAATACTAACGGATGTACAGTATATAAATTAATACTATATTTTTTATTCAAATAATTCAAAATATAATTTAAAACAAAGTTTTGTCTCATCTTAAATAATATAACATAAAATAAATGGCAATTATATTATAGTTAATATTTGTAGCACAAGGATAACGAAGGACTGTGATATACCTGAATAAATAGAGGCGTAATAATAATGAATACTAAGTTATTAATAACAATATTATTATTATAATATAAGAGCCAACAATTAATATTATTATTTATATTTAGGTTAACAAATCTATATCATTGACTATCTAATAGAAATGCAAATAACAAATACACCTAAAAAAATTTGATATGAATTTGTAATTTTATAGAATTGCATGTTATTAATATCATCTAATATTAGTATTTTTCTGTTTTGTAATTTATTTTTAATATACATATAGCATTATACAAAAAATATTAATAATATTTGCAATAAAACAAACATATTGTTTATATAAATGGTTGCATATTTTGATTATTGAAATCTATTTTAATTATATAGCAAAACATGTAATATTGTATATTATACAGAGTGTGCTTAATATTTATTTAATAAAACATAAAAAAGGAAAACAATATTATTGCTACAATAGTTAGTTATTTGTAATAACTATAATATAATATTAATTTTGTTTAGTAAAAGTAGACGATCTTTCAATTTATATTAACTACATAAAATTTATAATAGTTAATATAATTTAGTTATATTATTAATAGTAATTATATTATTAATAATATTATCAATTAAGTAAGGAATTTATTAAAATAGTGTTTCATATCAAATACTTTGTATATTTATATACATGCATTAAATATGACTCAAAAAATATAATATTATAACTTGTATGCTATCGACAGGTAAACTCCCATATTGTTTGCTGATTATAACATTTATCTATCATTACTTTCTAACATTAGTAGAAGTATTATTATTATTACTTCAATAAATGTGTATTTATTAAATGTATTATTTATTTTTTTATTACATTATTTTATATAATTATATTTTGGTTCATGAGATGCTATTTTTAATGTTTGCTGAATATATATATAACTCTCTGTATACATTATACATAACGGACATATAATATACATATTTAGAAAGGGGTAGTAATAGAGGGAAAAGAAAAGGTAGACATAAAATACACATAAATATACTGTAATAATAAAAAGCATATATACAAAAAAGCCAATGGTTTGGAATATAAAAATCATATTATAGTGCAATAAATTATATTTAAAATTACATAACACAAGAATCATATGCAAAATATTTGCTTTTATTTTAATAGTAAATCAGTAAAAAGCTTACCTGAAATGTGAGTTAAATATAAGTTAATATCAATCATTTCTTTGTATATGAAAATGTGATCAAATATATGATGCAAATGATGTAATGTTATGATACTTCAGGTCATACAATAAATATGCATTCAAATATGATTATATTATTATTATTATTATTATTATTAAACATTGGGTTTCCTCTTCAATACTGAAAACATTGAATCAATTTTTAATTTTCAAAAGTATTGTCTTTTAATAAGTTATTGTTAATAATTCTAATATTATATATAATTTATATATTTATCCTCAAATGACATTTACTAGTTGTTAGTCTTTTAATTTTATTATTGGCACACATTTACTATATAATACAATATATACAGATATTATTAAGTAATTTACACAAAACTTTATAAACAAACTTTTTTATGTATTTTCACTTTCAAGTATGAGATGAGTGAATAAAAGGAAATAAACTGTTAAATAATATAATTTAAAATATATTTTAAAAAACTTTATGAGAATATTCAATATTTTTATTTAGAGAAATTTGTTGAATTGAATAATAGTTTTTTTGTATAATATATTTGATTCAATTGTTGTTTAATGACAGAGATTTGCAAATAGAGCTGTTATTTATAAATATTAAGGTGTCTTATGGTGTGAATGTTTGATGAAAACACCGGCAGATTTTTGTACGATAAAACTTTAGTGATTTTATCCCACGTATAATAAATGGGGTTTAATAATCAATAATAATCATATCTATTCAAATGACATATTTAAATCATTTTAATTAAATTACTAAATAATGTAATCAAATAAATATTTTATATTTACAAATATTAAATAGAAAAAATAAATAAACTAATAAATATTATAAATTGATGTTAAAATGAATTTATCAAAAAATAATAATTATTTTAATTGATTTTTATACTTTAAACTCATATATATATATATATAATATCAGTTGATATTATATTTATGATAATAAAACACCGGTGACTAATACAATGTATAATTTAAATGAATGGCCAGATAGACAATGAGTGATGACATTACTATATACACCCAATTTCAGTGCTATTAATGCGATAAAAAGTAATGTAATGCCATATATTGATGAATAAATATCAATGATATGTTTAGCTGTTAAACAAACTGCTAAAGAGTTAACATAAGAGACACTGTTTTATTATATAATATAATTACACGACACCATTGAAATGCAATGGGATTGTGAACAAACTGTATGATATACACACAGACACTCATACAAGTGCTTATGGGAAAGGCATACATACGGCTGGGTGTGTGAATAGATGTGCGTTTGAGCACATATTCAATCAAATAGTGTTTTGTATTAGATTTTTCACTGTTGACTTTATACACAATATAGCCGTTATATAATTGACAGTCAATGCCTACCTGTTTTCTCAATGCAATGCCGTTCCCCAGTTATTTGTGACATAGAGGTACTATTAAAAGCAGATGCATTAACTAATTTTAAGAGCCGCACCCCTTTTATTATATTGTTTTATTTTTTTTAAATTACAAAAACTATGTAAATTTTAATTTAATTTAATATCAAAGTTTTTTAGACAAAACAACTCATTTCATATTTACATAAACTTTATTCCTATCTATCGGTGCTACGATACCTATAATACTTTTGTAATTATTCAATCTACTCATTCAAACATTATTTATTAATTTTTTTATTATTTGTATTAAAACAGTGAATATACTGTACTATTATTATATGAGGAGTGTTATGACTAAATACAATAAATATATTACTATTTTATAATGCTTTCTGTGTTGACTGAAATTATTGATATACCGGTGATCTTTGAAATAGCATTTAAGTTAGTCATACCTTTTAATAACAATCAATGTAATCGTGTTTCTAATGGCAATCACTACACACTATCGCATTGATTGCAACAATTTGTTGCATTTGATAGCTATTTTGAAAACTAACACCAAAATGCTATTTAATGTTACCATTTGTTGGATTTGATGTTGTTTTGCACTTTTAGGATAAACTAGGACTGAAAGACTTAGAGATGAATACAGAGAGAAATAAACGGATAAACAAATAGACAGACAGAAAGATATTAGTAATGTTGTGATAGAGATAACACTATTTAACAATTATGCTTGAATTTAGTTGTTTGGGTCATAACTACGTTAGCTTTTATGTAATATTAAAAGTTGTGTCATTTACTGTATATCACATCAAATGTTTGCACAATTTTCATGTCGGGCTTCCTATTAACTATGATATTGCCATTTGATATCATTATTTGTTCACTTTTGTAATAGACATTAAAGTTGGCATCTTTTAAGTGGAAGCCATCGTTAAAATACACAACTTTACTATCAATGAATCCTCTCTTAATATCTTTAATACATTTATTACAAACTAAAAGAAAATGTAAGTAAAGTTTTTATTAAAAACTATTTTTTTTTGTATGAATGAACAATGTTTATAACAATATGACTATAAGTTATCAGTTAAATAAAACTAAAGTTTCTATAGATTAATATATCATTAGTTGAATTGAAAGAATATAAATCATAAAATAATTAATAATTTAATAGTTGTTGACTTAAAATAATATTTCTAACTAACGGTATAAATGAAAGTCTGTACATAACTTACCTAAAATCTTATCTAACAATGCAAGGTTCCCAAGTGATTGGCCCAAAACAAGTTAATATGTGTTTTAATATATAAAAAATATACCCGTTTAACCATTTTTACTAAAATTATCACCTAATGGGTGGGTATGTGGGGTTTAGGAGGCTTTTGACCCCCCTAAACCCCACATACCCACCCATTAGGTGATAATTTTAGTAAAAATGGTTAAACGGGTATATTTTTTATATATTAAAACACATTTTAACTTGTTTTGGGCCAATCACTTGGGAACCTTGCATTGTAAGTATTACATAGTATTACATTATTTTTATAGAGTAAAGAGAACTGACTATTTAATTGATGTTATCATTGAATATTTTAGACAAATATTGCAATTATTTTATTGATAAAAATTCAAATATGATTTTATTTATTATAACACATACCTATTGTAATGTTCATGACTTTTTAGCAAAGATTTTACTACAAATAGTATTATAAACTTAATTTTCTTTAAGCTATTATATCTAGTGTAGGCAAAAAAGAAAAATTTCTAAAATAATAGAAAAATTTCTAGAAAGATTCTAAAAGAAATTTCTGTCTGGGATCTCCATGTTAATTTTGTTCTATCAATATTAGTTATCTTGTAATAAGTTAACTTGTATCAAGTAATAATAAAATATTATTAGTAGTATTTTAATTAATAATAAAAGTAAAAAATTAGTCTAATTAATTAATATAACTATTATATTAAACTAAAAATATAATTAAATGATTAATAAAATTTTACAAAACTATAATTATAATTATTTTATATATAAGGATCCCATTTGTATAGTATATATATATGTATTGTCTCATTAATATATTATTACAATAGCTATAGATATGGGTATCATATAGTATAATAATAAAGTAAAATTTCTATAGAAATTTATTCCTGAGAAATTTACTAGAAATTTTCTCATGGAAATTTAGTAGAAATTTCTATTTAGACATCTCTAATTATATCACATACTAGACGTCTTTAGCTAAGTTATGCACAGACAATGGTTTAATTATACGATGACATCAAATACTAACTAAAAAACATATTTATATATAAATTGTTATAATATATAAAATTGATTATAAAGTTTAACAATCTTTGAAACTATATTCATAAGAATATCTACGATTTCACTCTATGTATTAAAACATATGGTTTTTATTTAAAATTAGTAGAGTATTGACAAACACTAAATAGAAATAATTATTTGATAATATTATATAATATTGTAATCATTATGTTATAATTAATTTTTTAATTTAGGTGTCGTTGAATAGTTACATTGATAAAAAATAATTAAAATTATCGTGATACTTTATTACAAAAAAATCAATGTCAACTGAATATTATAGTAATTATTGTTAAATTTTATTTCAGTAATAATAGTAATAATAAAATATGCAAACTATTATAGCCTTGAATATTTACTAATTAATAATTACAAGTATAATATATGTATAAAAATTCGTTTTGTTATTATATATACGGTTTGAAACACGAGTTACACAACTTTTCAATAAAGTATAACATATTTTACAATACAATAAGATTTTAAAAAATTGTTTGTCTATTGTTCACTCATTTCTTACTGTTTCTCATAAATGATTGTAAACTTATAGAGAATAATATAATAGAGAAATGACAATACAATAGATACGGATATAACATATAAAATAATATAAAATATGATTGTATCGGCTCAGTTACCATTGCTTTAACTATTGTCTAACGATATCCTTTCTCTCATACAGTTTTCATGATATCGATGGGCAAGAGATTGGAAAATAAGAGTTCAAATCATTTTAACCATTGATTATGTGTATTATATTTTTTATAATATATATTATATTTGTGTCTGTCTTTCTCCTCTCCCCTCTGTTTCTCTAAAATTTTGATAATCTCTGTCTGTTTGAAAGCACAGCAAACGATATACTGCTTAAATGTAAGCCTAAAATGTATAGAGAAATAAGTTAACGATAACAGTATTGAGTGCATAAAAGTGTTGGAAAGGCATTGAAGAATGAGAAGAGAGGAGAAGCGCATCAAAAAGACAACTCTTGTGTGGAGTTGGAGTAGAGTTAGACTTAGAGTTATAGAGTAATAGAGAACTAAAGGAAAGGGAGAAAAAAGATGAGAAAGACGTGACTTTTATGAAAAATTTGTTGCATCCATGAAACACACCATACGTGAAGAAATAGGCTAACATTGGATATATATATATATACAAAATATTGGTACTGTATTTACCAGCACTGGTAGTAAAGATGCTTATATATTATCAGTTCAAACACAATGACCTTTATTTTTCGTATTGAAAACACAAGAGTTTACCTTAAAATCAAATGTCTCATCCCTTAGTCCACATAATAGGATATTA